AAAACATTTAAATTTAACCTGCAGGGGGAGTAAGCAACTTATCAATCATATCCCTACTCCGATCAAATCACCTTACCCAGTAAAAATAAAGTTCCTTACAAGATCCTCCATGATCAGCTCTCTCACCACCTCTCCGAGCCCACTCTTCTCTTTTTCTACTCTAGTCAATAAACATCCTTCCTTGCTATTCTTTGGATACATCAGGCACACTTGCATCACAGAACCTTCGCTCTCCTTCATCTTAGGACACCCATTTTCCAGTATCTCCCTGGCTCATTCCTTCAGAACTCTGCTCAAGCATCACCTTCCCAATGAAGGCCTTCCCTGATCACCATATAAAAAATAGCAAAATTCCCTACCTCGCATTCCTTATCCCCCTTACCTGAATATATTTTTTGCTTTGCCACTTATCCCATTGTGACAACACTGGGTTTGTTTGCTCTCTATCTCCCCCACAAGATCCATGAGGGTAGGGACTTTTGTCTTGTTCACTGCTGTATATGCTAGGCCTACAAGGGCCTAGCTGTCCTTGCATATTTTCGGAGCTAAATAAAACCTTGTTAAATGATTAACTATGGAAGAGAAGTAGAAAAAATAGCTGCGGGGATAGGGAGGCAGAAGAGAGGGAGGAAGGAGAGAGCAAATGGGCACAAAGAAGCAGAAATGAGACGGGGGCTGGTAATGAGAGCCTTTTCTCCTGGTTCCAAGCCATTCATAAGGCACAGCTGAACCTCCTGAGTTGCTCAACTTCAAGCTGTTCTTCAACTTCACTTGCTCTACGTCATTTGCAGCTGAAAAGTTCTAACCAATATAAACAGTTGGAAATCCCCAACAAACAGAGAACTGAAAGAACAATAGCCTAGAAATTTAATTATCATCAGGCTTATGAGAAAGCACATACGATAGCATTAGGAAGATGGGAATGCATATTAGAACTAATAAGGATTCAGTAAGTGACTGGATACAAAACAGATATATAAAGACAATAGATTTCCTCACAAGAGCAGTAAGAAAGTTATGCGGAAGAAGATGCTAATTACAAGGATAGCACAAAATACAAAACATCTGGAAATAATCTTAATAAGATGTAAAAGTGCAGGAACAATATGGAGACAAGACAAAACATTGCATTTATGTACTATTTGTACATACAAAAAACATCATAAGAGGTATGTTTAGAATATTTAAAAATATATACCTATATAAATAGAATCTAGAAAAATACATCAAAATGTTAACAACAGCAGTCCCTCTGAAAGTGAGAATATTGGTAGCTTATCTTCATTTTTATATTTTCTTTCAGATTTCCTGTAAAGAAATTTTCTTTTAATATAGAGGTCTTGGCAACCTTCCTGAACCCTGGCCATCGCTGACACAAAGGAGGAAAGGAACAAGGGAACACAAAGCCTCCTCAATACCCAAAGCTCCAGAAGCAGCTCCTCTCTGCCAACAGTATGGGAGAATGGGAGAGAGTAGAAAGACTACAGTCTTTGGGGTAGGACTGGCCAGGAGAAGAATTCTGGCTTTGCCACTTACTATTTGTTTAAGTAAGTAACTTGAAAAAGTTACTTAGCCTCTGGGTTCCAGTTTTCTCACATATAATATAGAAATATTAACAGCTAAGTTGCTGGATTTGCATGAAGAGGAAGTAAACTTAGGGGCTGGCATACCTATATGCCCGTGATCCCCAGCACTGGTTAGTCATAAGAATCACCCAGGGAGCTTCTGAAAAATATAGATTTACGGACCCTGATCTCTATCTTTTGAATTAGGAATTCCACAGGTAGGGCTACAGATTTATATGGAAGCCATTATAACATGCACTTTTGGATGCATTTCTGATTTTTACACAGTCACTGTATCTGGGAACTGCTGTTTTAACCAATACTAGAAGTTACATAAAGAAAACTTCAGGAATATTCATAAATAACTGATATACACACTACATTGTTTGTGAGTTACTATTTAACTTCATGTGTAAATAGCTTTTCCTTCTCACTAGACTTCAAACTTCTTGAGGGCAGGGATCACGTATTCCCCAAGCACCTAGCATAGAATTACTATGCACACAGAAGGTATGGAAGAAACTCTTGTTGAATGACTCAGTGAATAAGAGTAGTAATAAATTTTGTAAAAAATATACCAACACCATTTCAAAACAATAAAATTAAAAATACCGAGGCTTGGGGCACAGGGCTGGCTTGTCAGAAGAGCATGCAACTCTTGATCTTGGGATCATGAGTTCGAGCCCCATGTTGGATGTAGAGATTACTTAAAAATAAATAAATAAAAAATAAACTTAAAATACATTCTAAGATTTTATTTATATGCGTGTGTATGTGTGTGTGTGTGTACACACCAGGGCTTGATTTGACATTGTTCCTGACAAGCTGTCTTCCAATGACCACCTTCCCATTTACCCATGCAGCTCTAGCTACAAAAATACTACAAGGATCTTACTCTAAGGTATTCTCTTTGTCATGTGATCTCAGGGCATAAGGCTCAGTAAGTTCATAGAGAACTTCAGGATATGGACCAGACAGCTTCTCAGATCCCTTCCAACTTTTCTATGAAAAGACTGCATTTCTGTTGTATCTTAAAAGATGGATGGGATGTAGAAAAACATTCCAGGGGAGGTCATCACATTCATAATAATGACTTTTCTAGTAGGGAATAAAATAAAAAATAAGAAAAGCAGATGAAAGGATTTTTAGCAAAATGTAAACAGCAGAAAAAGAATGAGAGAATGAATAAATGATAACCTAACCAAAATTCCCAATGAAGATCAAAAGGATCTGACTGTGGCATTTCTTGCCAAAAGAGAGTATGTGCTTAAGAGATGTAAGCAGAGTGGCTGCTCAGTTTGCCAGGTAGATGTTTACTGGACTGCTGACTCCACTTTTCTAACACATTTCAGGACACCCAGAGTGCCAACCTGTGGTAATGATGGAACCCAGCTGAACAGAGAATTCAAAACGATTCCTCTGTGCATTGATGAGGTTCACTGGCCTGGCTCAAGGTCAACATCTCGAAGAGTGGACAAGTATATTAAGAAGGAGCTTTTCCAGCAGTAGGATCACAGGATCAATTACTGAAATCTGTGAGAGATGGAAATAAGAGGGATGGAAACTGAGGGAGAGAGAAGTATAGACAAATAATGAACAGTATGGCTCCAAATGAAAGCAAAAAGGAGGCTATTTATTTCTCTAGCACATTCTGTGAAACACTAGAAGTTAAAGTGGATTAGACTTTAAGGAGTAAGTGGGAAATGTATCAAAATTTAAGTTGAAGAACTCACATTGTAAAGGGGATTAATGCAGTTACATGTGAGGTGCTCTATTCATCCTATTTATTTGTAATTGTTTTAAGATAAGGAAGTGAAGGGCGCCTGGGTGGCTCAGTTGGTTAAGCAACTGCCTTCGGCTCAGGTCATGATCCTGGAGTCCCTGGATCGAGTCCAGGGATCGAGTCCCGCATCGGGCTCCCTGCTCGGCAGGGAGTCTGCTTCTCCCTCTGACTCTCCCCCCTCTCATGCTTTCTCTCTATCATTCTCTCTCTCAAATAAATAAATAAAATCTTTAAAGAAAAAAAGATAAGGAAGTGAAGAAGGCAAAACAAAGGGTAACTGGAGAGATGAGGTTAGATAAACGGCTCTATATTCATTAAGAAAAGATTAATAGAAAAGGCATTAGATACATGAAAAATTTGAAGAAAGTGGACAAGATAAACAATATAAAGATTTTCAGTTTGTGATAAATACAAAAGAGAAGTATTAACTAGATCAACAGAAAAGGCCAGCCTAGAGAGATTTTTAAAGTATCAAGAGCAAAACTAAATAGATATTCAAGGAGAACTATAGGAAGACCTAGAAATAAGATGTAAGAAGTGAATGAGGTTTCTGGTTCTACACAGTTGTCATTTAGAAGCAATCATTAAGAAAATCATACCCACTGAGCACACCTGGGTTTACAACCACAGCAGGAGAAAGCAATAACCATTTTATATAGTTTCTTTAGCAGAGAGAGATTGGCCTTTACTTGCAGACAGAGCTAGATACAAAATATGGCTCTCCTGCACTATCACTTTCTGGGCTTATCACTTTAGCAAGTTAAAGCTCTCCGAGTCTCTGTCTCATCTGTTAACAACAGCAATAGCTATACCTTATAAGATCACTGCATTGGAGGTAATGTGTATAAAGTGCTTAGAACAGCACTAGATAGGTGCTGATGTTAATATAATAATCATTAATATTGTTAGTTTTATAAGTATTATGTAGCAATGGAGTCAGTCAACAAAAATTAATTGGACATCTATTATGTGCCAGGGTGGTAGTAGGTGCTGGAAGACATAGAGGACAGAGTGAAGACATTTCTTTGAAAGGAGGAAAAAAGAGAAAATCTAGGACACATGAGATAAACATTAGAAAATACTTCAATAGCATTTTATTTTGATATTTTTTAAAGTTTTCTCTTCCTGCTGAGATTGAAGATTTGAAAATATGTAATATGGTCAGCTTTTTACTACACATACCATATGAACACAAACTACAAATGCTAATAATACCAGCAACATAACGCTTGTTAAGCTAAAGGAAAAGAATTAGCGTATATGCAAAATAGATTGTTAATGCGGCCACTAATAGGCAAGGGAAAGTCTAGGTTGGAACTGCCAGGAGGAATCTATAACCCAGAGGCCCATCCAAACCATAGGTATTCCTTAACCCTAAGAACAAGGTACTGGCATGAGAGTTTGTAAAAAGTGTGCTCTGCACACACCAATTCCTGTGACCCAGAATGAAGAGTGACCAAAAACATAAGACCTAAAGAACACACAGCTTCAGAGGGCCCAGGGCACCCAAGTGAAAGCATTCAAAGCTCAAAACACAAGAGGTATCTGCTCAGAGGATTTAAAAAGATGAATTAAATAATAAAAGCTCTTATTTAATAATATAAACTAAATATGTAAATCTCAAATTAACAATTAAAATTATTTCCATTTACCTGATTGCTTAGAATTTCTTTCTTTCCACTGAATATTTTTGCATTTGATCTGGTTTTGTCTCTCTTTTCGGAGTCGTTCTAATCTTTGAGCTTGAAAAGAAATATTATAACTATAAGTTTGTCAATGAAAGTTTACTATAAACAAAGACATAATTAACTACCTTTATATGAATAAAGATGTTTTATATTGCATATGTAGGGAAAAAGTCATAAAATTTTAAAGGTGGCACCCCTGAAAAGCAAATACCAACAAAAACATGAAAATATTCTTGATTTATAATTGAAATTAGAGGATATAAAACATTAATAGAGATCATAAAGATAGTATTAACATGGAAGAGAATAATAAAATGTGAAAACTTCTGTGATTAATATGACATTTCATTATATAAATCATTAATAACGGTCTTAAAGGAATTTTAATGCACAAATGAACTGAAGTGAATATTACATTACAGGAATAAAATTACGGTTATGAATTACTCTACCCGTTTCAAAAATTAAAGATAAATGAACTCAGACTAGACTATTAAAGTTTTAAATATAAAATCCTTTATCTAAAAATCATGAAAATTATAAAATGTCAAAGCTATATAAATTAGCATAGCTTTTCTTCAGTGGGCTGAAACAGTTTATAGGTAGTAAAATAAATGATTTGTATCTTTGTAACATTAGTCAAATCTTAAAAAGAATAATTTTTCTTATACAAAATTTTAAGATATGCTGCAAGGATTAAAAAGTAAATTCTTTGGTCGCTAGGACACCCCACAACTGTAATTATTAGCATCTAAGTGCTATCTTAAGAAATTCCAACAACAATAACAAAAGCATCACCTAAAATCATGCATTTGTGAGATTATATTACCACTGGCTGATCAACCTTCAAAAATCAATGAACTGATCTTTTAAAGAAATATTTCAATTTTTGAAATCCATTCAACCTGTCATATAAGATATCATCTCAATAACTGCAAGGAAGTCAGTTTCAACTAGAGAACTGAGAACCAGTGGTTCTAAATTACATTCAAACCTTCACTCAAATCCTATTTTGATAAAAGTTCCTTGAGATACTGGGAAATGCTATTAATTATTTTCATCATAAGAGCAAATTATTCTTTGGAGATGTCTCAGAATGCTGAATTCTGAACCAAAAACCTTAACATGCCTTGCACTATATATTGTATCCTGCAGTACTCCTTTATGTGCATTTTACCTTTGGACCACAAAAATAAACATGCAAATATTTTCAATGTTCTACCACATCTCCTATCGTTACTTTTCCTGGGAGTTAGCAGGTTACTGCTACTACATTAGTAGAGATATTTTCTGATTACCTAAAAAAAAAAAAAACACCTCCTAGCACACCCTGTCATATTAGAACTACATTACATATTCTAAATAATTTATCTAAGTAAAGGCCTTGGTTCATCCCATTCCCCTTGAAAGGTTTCCAAAACACGTAAGCTGGAAAATGGGCAATGATAAGCTTTCAAAAGCTAATGACTGAATATGTACGTACCAAAGTTTAGCTTTTTCAAGCCACAAAGATCAAAGGGTAGAGATCAACTTAAGAAAATAAAGATAATATATAAAAAAACAGGGGCATCTTTTCTAGTCTCACACCCAATGTAGGAATTTCTATTAAAAGCAGCCCTAACAAATATTCAGCTATTTACCTCCAATCCCTCCTAGCCCCCCATAAGCCCTCCAGGGCCAAGAAATGGCTCCAGCAGCGGCACTCCTTGGCTGGTCAGCTCTCTGTATTAAAGGTTCTTTATTATGTCAACCTGAAACCTGCCACCCAGGTAGTCTACCCACTGGGACTAATGTTGCTCTGTGAAGATACTCAAAATAAGTCTACTTCCCTTTCTACATGAGGACTTTTTAGAAACAGAACATCCAACATGCCTCTCATAGCCACCTGTTTCATCTATTCGTCTTCTACCTCCTTCTGATAGCATCATTCCAGAGGCGCTCTCCATTCAGTCATGGAGAGGGAGATGTTGTTTAGACTCGCTCTTACTGTAATACATTCACGTTCCTGTTAATACACAGAAACTTTCCCCATTAAACCTATTCCAACATTATGCATTATTCTGTAAGATTATTGACTGATTTACAGTTCAGAAGACATGACTAAAAGGCAATGTTTACCTGTATTTGAGCGTCTTCTAATACCAAAGTCCCAACTTGAGGTAATATCGACTGACTGGGCATATACATAGCCTTGAGTCTCGCCATTGCTTCCCTGAATTTCTGACCCACTGTCTCCAGGCATTGAAGGAGGATGAATCTTCTCTAGGTCAACATCATGATCAATGAGAACCATCTCACACATTCCTGTGTCATCACTGGTCACATGTGACTGTCGAATATGAGCTAGAATGATAGTTGGATTGTCCAAGAAGGCCATCCTTTCTGTGGGCCAATTTCCTTAAAAGGCTATTTTCTCCTCTTCATATTGTTTCACGTGCTCACCTCCCTAGAAACATGATGTACACAGCAATATTTAAGAATAAGGAAGAAAATGACTGAATCATTTTTCAAACAAATTCAAATTAGTAAAATGCTACCTTGAAAATCAACATTTATCCTTGTACCTAGGAGCTTACAAGGATTAAGTCTAGGCTGAAAGGAAATCCTTATAAGCACTAGGGGCTACAGCTCTAGTCAATGAGATCTCCATGGTATCCGAGAGGATGGCTTCCTCTCTTGCAATACAAATAATAGTGACTCCTTAGGCCACTCAAAGCACATAATTACTTTTAAAACAATAAATTTTCCTTTCTTTCTCCCTTCATTCCCATGCAGTCTCCTCAATACTTTATAAGGTCACGGGGGGACAAGTCGTATTTTCCTCAAATTATCTGCTAAAGTATGAAACTGCATTTCTTTCATTTACATTCCCCCCTCTTTATCATATGGCTGTGAGGTAACTAAAAGAACACAGACAATACTTTGAGTTACTAGGAATTAAAAAAAAAAATGAACCACCAAAGTAATTTTGTTCAATAAATACATTTTCCTTTCTTCTGGTTTAAGATAGTATGGTGCTTTTATTTTATTTCATTTAATTTTAGGGGGGCAGGGTGGGGCAGAGGGAGAGAGAGAATCCCAAGCAGGATCCACACCCAGTGCAGAGCCCAGCACAGGCTCGATCTCAGGACCCTGAGACAATGACCTGAGCTGAAATCAAGTGTAGGATGCTTAACCGACTGAGCCACCCAGGCGCCCCAGTATTGTGCTTTTAAAGTAAACTTTATTAATCAAACTTCCCTGCTACCAAATTAATTTCTTATTTTAGAAACCTCATTGTAAGAACTGCTTCCTGAATCCTGTTGAAACTAAAATGATGTTTATTCTGGGAACAAGATGGTATCTCCTCAGTTAAATGGGAATATTCAAAAAAGAAAACATGGTAGTCTCCCCTCATCTGTGGTTTCAATTTCTGCAGGTTCAGTTACTCGTGATCAACAGAGGTCCAACAGCAGATGATCCTCCTTCTGATGTGTCCTCAGAAGGTCAATAATAGTAACCAGGGGCACCTGGGTGGCTCAGTTGGTTAAGCGTCTGCTTTAGCTCAGGTCATGATCCTAGGGTCCTGGGATCAAGTCCTGAATCAGGCTCCCTGGTCAGTGGGGAGCCTGCTTCTCCCTTTCCCTCTGCCACCCCCCACCCCGCTTGGGCTTTCTCTCTGTCAAATAAATAAAATCTAAAAAAATATATATATTAGTAGCCTAATGCTATGTCACAATACCGATGTCATTCACCTCACTTGTCTCATCACGTAGGCATTTTATCATCTCACATCATCACAAGAAGGTCGATTACGGTACAATAAGATATTCTGAGACCACATTCATGTAACTTTTATTCCAGTATATTGTTATAATTGTTCTGTTTTATTTTTGTTGTTGTTAATCTTACTGTGTCTAATTCAAAAATTAAATTTTATCATAGCTATGTATGTGTAGGAGAAACAATAGTACACATGGGGTTTGGTACCATCCATGGTTTTTCAGGCATCCACTATGGGTCTTGGAACTCACCCTCTGCAGATGAAGGGGGACTACGGTATTAGAGTACACTGGTCAGGATAAGGACCGACAGGTAGAAATGGGTTCAAATCCTGACCCTACCACTTGCTGGCTATGTGATTTTGGTCAAAATAATCTTAACCTCTTTGAGCCTGTTTTCTTTCTTCATTAATAAAATGGGACTCCAGGAATGAGAGGATATAGAAGATAATGTAGGGAAAGTGCTCAAAAGAGCACCTGCCACATAATTAAATATTAGCTGTATTAAGAATAACAATGATGTGAGAGACGATGGACTCTGAAAAACAAACTGAGGGTTCTAGAGGGAAGGGGGGTGGGAGGATGGGTTAGCCTGGTGGTGGGTATGGAGGAGGGCACATTCTGCATGGAGCACTGGGTGTTGTGCACAAACAATGAATCATGGAACACTACATCAAAAACTAATGATGGGGATTAACATAAGAATAAAAAAAAAAAAAGAAAGTCTCAGTAAAAAAAAAAAAGAATAACAATGATGATGGTGAAAATAATCACTAACTTCAGCCTTCAATTGTTTAATGTAATCCTAAAATATATCAACATTCATCCTTCTTTAGTAAGTGCACAGCATGTAAAATAAATGTGTGCTTCCTTTCTGAGAGAGGACTCTACAGGTCACCTGAGTCACCTTCCTCCTTTAAAATCATTATGAGATGCAAGGAACATGAAAGCTGGGCAGTCCCTAGAAGGTATTTATTTTTAGAAAGGCCTACAACACCAGACTTTCTTGTCATTTGTTTCTTCTAGAAATGGAACATAGGGGTAAATCTACTTAATAAATCATTATAACCAACAGAGCTTTTATTTATTTATTTATTTATTTATTTTCTTTTAAAGATTTTATTTATTTATTTGAGAGAGACAATGAGATAGAGAGAGCATGAGAGGGGGGAGGGTCAGAGGGAGAAGCAGACTCCCTGCTGAGCAGGGAGCCCGATGTGGGACTCAATCCCGGGACTCCAGGATCATGACCCGAGCTGAAGGCAGTCGCTTAACCAACTGAGCCACCCAGGTGCCCAACCAACAGAGCTTTTAAAATTTTTTGTCTAGTAACATTCTACTGACATCACTTGGTACTCTTAAAGATACTGAGATTAAGGGAAAGTTTAACTGAGGAACATCTCTAATCAAATGAATTACACTAATCTTCATTTTTTCCTTCAAATATATTTACTGAGTAATTTTACACTGAGGCTAATGGGAAATGCCAAGGTAAGGCACCCCTGAATCAAAAAGTTTATAACCTAGGGAAGCCTGGGTGGCTCAGTTGGTTAAACATCTGCCTTCGGCTCAGGCCATGATCCCAGGGTCGTGGGATTATGTCTGCATCGGGCTCCTTGCTCAGCGGGGAGTCTGCTTCTTCCTCTGCCTGCTGCTCCCCCTGCTTGTGCTTGCTCTCTCTGACAAATAAATAAATAAATCTTTTTTTAAAATAGTTTATAACCTAATACAGTCCTAGTGTATTTCCTAATATAATGAGATTCCTCGAAGTCTCAGAAATTTTAATGTCAGCCTACCATTTTAAGTGTATTAATCAGAAAACATTACAGAATTAAAGGGGAGCATTTAAATTTCACTTGTAAAAATAAGAATTACTTATAAAACCACAAAGAGATGTATACAATCATGGAATTACTTATAAATGAGAATATTTGTTTTGTAACAAAATCATAGCATCACAGATGGTCAAAACCGCCAACACCCTCATAGCAATCACTGGGTCTCCCCCAGGACAGTAAGGCAACTAGGCGCTAACAGAGGGGACAGGTGCTTTCAATTTCATACTGAATAACTCTCCCTTGCAAAAAACAAGGGCTTCAGTGAGAACCAACACATTTAATGGGTGTTCTGGCACCAACAAGTCAAATGGCGAAGGGCAAAGAAACAAAAGTATACTTAAGTACCCTCAACAGAATATACATATGCGTGTGTGTGTATATACACATAGATATATATGTATGTATGTATGTATGTATTTATATATATTTTTTTTTTCTTTAGGAAAATAGATCTGCTCCATCACCTCTTATGAAGAAAAGAGTTATGGACAAATACTTCTGAAGGCACACACCAAGTCCCTAACTTTATCCTCGTAGAACAGAGGCCCCCAAATCCCCAACAGGAGCAGACAATTTCTCTATTGGTATACTATGACTTCATGCAATGAGGATTCTGAATGATTCACTCAACAAATATTATTCAATACCAATTCTGATAGGGAATTCCAAGAAGTGTGCCCTGGGAAATATGCCTTCCACCTCCCATGACATGTACTTGAGGATTTAGGCTGTAAGTTCCACAGGGACAGGAGACACACCACCACATCCCTTCTGGCAACAAAGCATCTTACGCATGGCAGAAATTCGGTAAGAGTTGCTGTCTGACTTCCAAAGACTATATAATTTTGTTGTAGAGATAAGTCATCTATGAGCATGTCTTGTGTAGTGTGATTATAAAGAAAGGATTGCCTTTTTTCCATTAATACAGATACAAGAGCTTCTCTTCAATATGCCTTTCAAAACTGTCACCTGGGTGGCTCAGTGGGTTAAGTGTCTGCCTTCAGCACAGGTCATGATCCCAGGGTCCTGGGATCAAGCCTCTCTCTCTAATAAATAAATAAAATCCTTAAAAAAAAAAAAACCTGTCACCTTGGAACACTATCAATTTATCCCAACACTACTTTTCAAAACCAAAAGGATGTCTTAAATCACTTTAAGAGCAGCAAATTATCATTTGAAGGTAGATTCGATTTCTAGGACAAAGATATTCCAAACACAGATGAAAACAAGTTATTCTCTCTAATCAGTTGTGTAAAGATCAAAGATTTTTAAAACATAATGTTGGCAGGGTTCAGAGAAAGGAGGCCTCTCATGCACTGTAAAAAGGAATGAAAATTGAGACTTTTTAGAGGGTAATGTGGTATCATCTATCAAAGTATAATGAGTACCTTTTGGGAAACCCTACTTGTAGGATTTGCCTTTAGGAGATAACTATGCAAAAATATATATCTCAGGATTGTTTATTATACTGAAAATCTAAAAGTAACATATACATCCATCAGTGAGGAGTGTATCATGACACACACATGTAACAGAATACTACACAGTCATTGACAATACCTGGTAGAGAATGGATAAACAAAATGTGGTATATACATACAATAGCCTTAAAAAGGAAGAAAATTCTGACACATGCCACAACATGGATGAACCCTGAGGAGATTATGCTCAATGAAGTAAGTCACAAAAAGACAAATATTGTATGATTCCACTTATATGAGGCACCTAGAGTAGTCAAATTCATAGAGACAGAAAGTAGAATGGCGGATGCCAGGGGCTAGAGGGAGAGGGGAATGCGGAGTATTTATAATAAGTATGTTTAGGGCGCCTGGGTGGCTCAGTTGGTT